TAGCAGTATAAATCTTTTTTCTTCTAGGACTCCAGGGCAAGACAAGACAATAGTATATACTTATGTATAGTAATTTCCATATTTATGTCATAAGCCTCTTTTGTAGCCTATTAAATCAAGAAACCTCCTTCTTCTTTGATGATTGTAGTTTCTAAATGGGTAATCATTCATATTCTAGACGTATTTACTTGTAGACTTACCTTGTTTGTCACCTGCTTTTACCTATTTCTGTTGGCCATGGTCCAGGACAAACTAGAAACAGCCAGAACTGGATTTTAAGATGGATATTAGCTAGTGGAATGCCCCTGCACCCTCAGCCCTGCATTGGCTCATTTCTAATAGTTATGATTCAGAATTCAGCTCTTCACAAGTTACCACTGAGTTGATTTTACATTTCAATTTCTGAAAGCAAGAATAATGTGGTTAGACTTGTTCTTAAAAAACAAAAACAAAAACAAAAAACTAGAGTGACAGGGTTATGAATTAATCAAGGCAGATTACAAGATAAGATCAAGACTGACATTCTTCAGTAACTACTTTGGAACCTGAGCTACCTCAAATACCAGTACACATAATCAAGTATTCCCCCTTTGAGCTAGCTTGTTGAAGTTTGGCTCCTCATTGTTGCTATTGCTGTAGGGGTTTCTTCAGAGGGGCTCAGGGCCGTCAAACCCACACTGTTACAGAGTTGTTACTGAGTTTATGCCAGCATCAGATTCCTGGATTCCCTACAACTAGGCTAATTTTTACATTTTAACTTAAGCTCTTGTTTAATAACGCTCTCTCACTTGGCTGTGTGTGGTCAGCAAGGGAAGAAGAAAACCAGCGAGGAGAGGGACAGATATGCCTTTGGGGCAGAGGTGGCCTCGATCTGCTTGGTTGAAAGCTACTGAGTCGGAGAAAAGGTCCCAAAGTCCAGAGCTGATGAGCCCTTGATTTACGGTACCTCCTCCTTGCTTCCTCTCCTTAACTACTCTCTGTGGGTGCTGGGCATAAAGCAGAGCCTGGAGCCAGGTAGGCAAGTACCACTGGCTCCATACCCAGCCTTGCCCCCTTCCTAACTTTCTCCATTGGCTCTGCTTTTCTATTATCTATAAAATAGTGTGTTCACAGTCCAAGTGAAGGAGGTTGGCTTTACAGGCAGAGAAGAGCTTGAAAAAAGCAGAACAGAAAGCAGAGTGGATTGATAATTTCAAAATTATTTTCCTTTAAGAAAAGTATAGGAGTCAGGGCAATGGACAAATAAGGGATTAATTAGCATCACGTCACTTTACCTTAAACTGAAGAGAACCTTATTATCTTGGCAATGATAGCCTGCCTGTTTGTAAAATTTGGCTGTTAGCTGGCTAATTTTTCAAGGACTAAAGTCTTAAAAAATTATGTCTAACCTAAGACCTCACTCATGCCAAGCAATCAATCCTTTCACCACCAAGATGCATTCCCCCCTCCCACCTTTTATCTTGAGTCCTGTATGCTCTCTGAGCTGGTCTACTCTGGTTTCAGCGAACATGGGAATTCAAGGGTCAAAGATAAGCAAATTTGGACAGATCTCTGAGAGAACAAAGTTCTGGCTAAGCTTTGAACTGTCATTGAGTGATAGGACGTGAACTTTGGAGTTGAAGGTGTGGGTTAGGCAGCTACTTCTCTTGCTCTGCTGGAGCAGTGAAACCACATCTCCAGATCTCAGAACTGAAGGTGGTGGCTAGGCACCAACCTCAGAATCTTCACTCCCTTTCCCCAAACGCAGCTGCCTAAGGCTGAGGCCATATTCTCCTCATTCAGGAGTGGCCCTTCCCATTACTGGCTCGGAAGAATGGTCTGCCATAACAGCTTGTCAAGGCAGAGTATGTCTTTCCTTTGCTTTTCCCTCATGTCAGTGACTCACAAAGACTATTCACTCTGTTGGACAAGCATCTGAAATTTTTCTCTTCAACATTTCTTCTCTGTCCTTTTATCTCGTCCTAGATCTTTTATTTGTTCTTGTCTACCTCTCCAAAATCCACCTTAAAATTGGACAAAGTGATCTTTCCAAAAGTCAATGTATTCTAACCACTCTCTGCATTAATCCTGCTCAGAACCGTTTTCGGCACGAAACACATACACTGAAATTTCATCTAACTAGCTGTGTTTAGTTTTGTGGGTCCATTCTCTTCTGGCCACAGCCTAGCCAGTATCTCCCTCCCAGTAATGCCCCCCTCCAGTTTAAGCAGTTCTGCTTCACTTCCTTGGGAACGGTTTTCTTTTTTCTTTTCCTCTCCATGGGTGCACAGTGTTCCTGTATTTTGCTACCATCTGTCAGCACACTTAACATACTTTTCTCACAAGTCCTGTCAGGCTGCATCACTGTTGAAAGCTAAGCAGGGCACTGTCAATAGCTTCAGTAGCCTTTTTGCTCAGCTGTGTTTGTTTCTAAGACCTACATGCTCCATATTTGTTGAATAAATGACTGACACTGTATGGCTGTTCCCAACATGCAAAATCTAAGCTCATTTGACAGCAATCTATCTATCTATCTATCTATCTATCTATCTATCTATCTATCTAAACTTTGGTCCACTGTATGTGTCTGGGAAAGCAGTAGTGGAGGTCTAGGATTCTTTGTTTTGACAGTTTTAGAATGATTTCCATATAGTAGATCCAGGGGATAGATACACTGAGAACTCTTGATTCCTGGGAAGGATAACTTTCTGTTTTTTAAAAGCTATGTCAAAAAACTTCTCCAGAATGGAAGCCAAGTACTATTTATCTAGGTCTAGGTCAGCGGCAACTCAGAACACGTTGTTGAGTGAATGATGAAGCTATGGGAGATAGATGCAAGGAGAGTGTGGAATCAGCCATTTTGTCACATAAATCATGGCAGCGATCTCTTCCAAAAGAATCTCTCTTAGTTGGCTATTTAAATAATCCCAAGTTTTATTTCAAGTAACCGCAGTTCACTAATTTGCTAGGTTTTGTTTTGGGTTTTTGGGGCGTGGTGTTTGGTTTTTAAGTTCACAGTTTTATATTTTAAAAAAGAAGAACTAAAATGTTTAAATGGCCTTGTTTTAGTCTTATGTTTGAACAGTCTAAGTCCCTTAAATATAGGTTCCTTTTTAAGATACATGCCCTGTATTATTAAAGGTCAACAAACAAAAACAAAACAAAACAAAACAAAAGAACGACGACGACGACAACAAAAGAATATCCAAGTCTCTTGGATAAATTTTCTAAGTGGAATCGTATAGGACTACATTTCCCATGATGCCAAGCCAGAACCACGCAGGGGCACTTGGA